TCCGTGGAAATTCTCTTTTTGTCTCTCAGTAGTTGTGGCTTTTTTCTTGGGTAAGAGTTAGCTAGAGGTTTCAAGCATTGTTTTTTTCTTCTAGCAGTCTACCTGTTTTTACAAAGTGTGTAGGAGCTCTTCAGTCCTCTGTTCCTCCACCTGTCTTGTTTGAGAGGGGTGTCAAAGTCTCAGGGAGACACATGCACACACAGTGCGCAATTACTTCAATCTCACTCACAGAGACAGGCTGTAGATATTGCAGAGTTCTCAGTAACACATTATTTAAATTCCATTTAAATAGTATGAATTTCCATTATATAAGCTACTTTTTTCTCCCAGGATGTAAATTACAACACAAATAAGGTTCCCTTAAATTCAGCACCAACATCGTGGAAAAGTGTTGTCTAAGGCTCCTTATTTTCCTTAGGGTCAGCCTAAACCTGATCTTACTGGCTGGGGACATGTTCCCTCTTGTGCCTAATCTAATGGTGTAAATCTATGTCAGGAGTTTACTTCTAAGTCTAACTCTCTTGCTCAAGTTGTAGCTATTGGAGGGCTTTGCTTAGGATGCTGCTGATGTGACTCACAGGACATGAGCCTATTGCACACCCCAAACTTGAGAAGGAGATGCTTAGAGCTGAGAGGTTATTCTGTTTGGGAAACCTTAAAATGGGCAGAATTAGTGTTAGAAATGATCCTTGGGGGAAGGATGTTTCTGGCTGAAGAGGAACCTTACAGCCAGGCTGTTCTCTGTGCTCAAAGGCAATGGAAGGGATGAAGTGTAGGAGTTTGTGATATACCCTGTGCAGACATGTATATACCACCCTGTGGGGGAAACACCATAATTACTCTTCTGAGCTTCCAAGGAACTCTGTGAAGAAAAACATAAATCTCAACCATCTAGAGACTTCTGTAATTCAGACCAGGTGTCAGGTAGGCTGTTGTATGGCTCCAGCACATGACTTACAGTCACCTTTTTATCCTTGTTCCTGTGCTACTGATGCCCTTTAAGTCTAATATTCTCAATAGTAAGGAAATATGTTTCCACTGAACCAAATCCCATTTGTCTAGGTAGTGAGAACAAATACCAGTTGTAGATCATCTTGGATAGTCGATTTTAACCTCATCCTGATCAATAGCACAATGTGATAGCTCCTTCTCAACCCCAAATTCATAAACACAGGAAATAAAAATTACGAGGTTTAAATGACCTGGGAGATCTAGGATTCTGGCTAAGACCTGTCTTACCATTGATTAAATCTGGAATCAGATTGTGACATTAATTTAGGACAAATGTAACATCGGAATTATACCCTGCTGGTTGATAATAATTCAAAAGCTCTACACTTAATGTAGAATTATGGTTCCTGTTAGTATTAAATACCTTAATTATTTTAAAATATCTTCAGAAATTATTCTACCAAGGTAGAGGTCCTCTTTGTTCATGAATATAGACAACTACTCAATTGTAGAAATTTCTGATCCTGACAAGCTTTGCTAAGTACTTGGCTACTAATTATGAACAGGAATAAAAGGACACCTGCTGAAATAATAATTAAAGGATGTGCAACTACAGCCTCTTATCAGATGGATGGAGCAAGTATCCTACATGCGCAGAGAATGCAGTCTTACACATTTTATGACAAATATGCCATTATGTAAATGATTACATCAGTAAGCATATTAATTTGTGTGACTACTGAACTGCTTGAATTTTAATGCATAAGGAAAGTAGCAATATAGTTCCATGCTAAATTAGATACAGTAAGTGTTAGATTTCCATGGTGCTGGCATAATCTTATTTACTGACAAATAAAACTGAAATATTTCCACAAAATTCAGTTTGTTACACTACTATAAATCAGCTAGGAAACTAGGATTGTACCCTCACTGTCAGTAATGATTTAATACCTGTAAATTCAGGACAAAATTCCTTCCATTAATTTGTCTACCCATCTTTGTCTACCAATCTTGTGTACCCATAAAAGCCTTCTTTAAATTGATACTTAAAATGTCTATTAGCTTGAGTAGGAAAAAGCTTACAAATCCATGTTGCTAATATCTGCAGGACAAGCACATCCTAAGTATGAGCTCTGGCTCAGAAAATCCTCTAGATGAGATCCTGGAAAGCCAGGGCCATAATCTGGGGGTATATCACTGCATGTTCTTCCTGTTCAATTGTTGTATCCTACATGTGTCAGCCACTACTGGAGACAGGATCCTGAAGTGTTGGCTCAGGTGGTTTTATGTTCCTATATAGAATCATAGCACTATGCTAAGGGCTTGGTGTTATGCTGAATCTAGATACCATAAGGCTTGTCCTAGCACCTGAAATGTCCTGCTGTCTCTCTGTCTGGCAGTTCTAGCCAGGACAAAATTGATTTCTAGGCATTTGGCCAACTGCTATAAAAAGGGCATGCAGCTGTGCCAGCCATGGCAGGAGACATCTCCCTCCTCTCCTTTCCACCGTAGTTTTCAGAAGGACATCAACCATGTGCCCTGCATTTCCGACGTACCTGCTCCCTTTTGGCTCCTGCAGAGATGAACAAAAAGTAACTGGGAGCCAGCCACACTGCTCCTGCTGCTGGTCTAGGTAGTGCCTGCAGTGATTTACCTGTGGTTACATCATAATTCCATGCTAGAAGGAGGCAATCCCAGGCGTGTCATTCAGCCACTAACTAAAAGTTGATTTCTTTTCTCCTCAGACTGGAGAACCGATATGAGGGATGCATGGAGTTGCAGGTCCTTCCAGGACCCTGGGGCACAGCTAGATTTCTAACTGCAGTCCCAGCCCATCTAATCCCTGTGTCACAAGGCTACAGCCTCAGTCACTGTAACCAGGAGAGAGGATTTGGCAAGGCCTTATTTGCTTTTTCTCCAAATAAGGTTGAGTTTTCAACCTTAAGGCCATACTCCAAAAGTAATTTACTTTCCTAGATCAGGGACCATTCTGGTGATTGTACAGATGTGGTATTTTTACCTACTAAATTATAAGTGAGGCTTGCAGCTGGGTGAAGAAGATTTATTTCCCTCTTTTGTTTGTGCAATGATCACTTCAGATTGTGTCCATGTGTAACCAAGGCTTCCCTAATCATGGACTGAGGATGCACTGGATCAAATGGCAATTAAAAGCCCATGACCTTAGAGAGTCACAAACCACTTGCAGAATGTCTCACGGACAACTTCTCCCATGCGGAAATGTTGCAATCTTCAGTTTTATGTCTTCTTTAAGCCCAAAATGCTTTAAAACTGGATGTTAGCGTTAGCTCCACAGTTCTGGGATAACGTGGCATCACACAGTTGCTGGAATCTTTACCTACACAAGCACAACTGCTCATCTTGATCCCACATCTCTCTCTAGTCTTTCCTCCCTGTCCAACAAATTCAAGTTTGAGGGATGGAGGAGCTCTAATGAGGCATTTTACCACCCCCAAACACGGTTGTTCCTTGCCCTCCTCCCCAGAGCCTGGCTCTCCAACACACACCACCCACCTCTCACTCCTTCCCCCAGGGATCACACAGCAGTCTCAGGCATGCTCGGCTTCACAGCAAAACTTCTCCAATTTGTTTTTTTTCCTCTGGCTTTATTTATGAAAGTGGTGTGACAGAACACTCTCCCTCTTTTTGCCACCTCTCTTCCCTCTGTTTTGTTTCCTGTCAGGCATTTTGCCCTGGCACACCAAGACACTAAACAGGAGTTCAGAACATCTGACCCTGGCTGCAGAGCATTGTCAAGAAGTTCTTAGACTTAAAATCAGCTTTTTCCCCCTCTTCACAGGACCTTGCTGTGGGATGTTCAAGGCTTCCTGCTGCAGCCCCCAGGGTGACCACCAGCCCCCAGCCGGGGTTCCACTCTCTCCAACACAATTACAGCCTGCAAATGTTTAAAGGCAGTTTCTTTTGATTTAGCCACATGCTTCAAATTGTTATGTGGTTAACCACTGAGAACAAACCCCCACACAAATACCTACGTATCAACTCGCTTGAGCCAGGGTGGTAGTGTTGGGGGAGGAAGGGGAGAGGGGAGGCTTCCTCATTTTGCTTTTGATGAGAAGAAAATAGAGTTTTCTTTTGACTTTCCCAAACTGCCACACATCATGGTGTGTGCTGGTTGATGTCCATTTGCACTTTTGTTTGCTGATGAAAGGAGTCTTGTTCGGCAGCCGTGGCCATGTACCCCATGGGCCACGTCCTGTGCTAGTGTAAATCAGCTTGTCTGCTGAATAGGAACTGAAAATGCAACCTTCTCTCTGTGTGTGATGTGCAAGAGCCAAGCTGGGGAAGACTTCTGTGCTTTGACATTGCCCTATCCCATGTCCCTTAACTCTTATAAAAACCGAATACTTTTCTGCTGACTCACAGAGACAGATGGATTTTGTTAACTCCAGTCAAGATAGAGGAGGACACACTAAAAGCATCACTTGGCGGGGCTGAATGCACCATTGGGGTTCAGGGGGACTGAGCAAGAAGTTTCACATCTCGCTCTCTTCAGCATGGATGGAGCTTGGCTTGTGGGTGCCACATGGGAGGAGCAATGTGTGGTCTAGGCGGAGCCCTGCTGCTAATCAGTCTCTGAAATAATGGCCCACAGTTGTTTCCCTCCCTCTCCTTGTGCCTTCTCCCTGGAGCACTGCAACTCCCCAAAGCCCAAGAGAGAGACTTGGAGCCAACAGCTATGAAAAAAGAAACACCCCAAAACGAACACAGAACTCAAATCCCCTCAGTAATTCCATTGCCTCTACTTAAATCTTCTTAAATTACAGAGGGTTTTAGTGAAGTAAATTAACTTCCCTTTGCTTGCATTTCCTTGCATTTTTGAGGACTATGATGCTGAAGAGCAAATTGTCTTACTAACAGAATCCAACATGGGGACAGTTGCCAAACACAACTGGCAGAGCTGTTCATGTAGCGTTCCTGAGAGTGGACCCAAGTGCAAATAGAGATAATTATTTTGCCATGGGCCACCTTTAAGATCCATGTTAATTTTATTTTCGTTTATAAAATGGCAGATTAAAGACAATACAAGGTGGCTAAGAGATTCTTGAGGCAAAAACTGCAATCTAAATGTGATCTGCTTTCTCAGGTATGAAACAAAATTGAATCCTTTGCTTTTTGTGGAAAACTGCATAAAAAGGTGGGGTTAAAAGCTTTGGATGTGGGGAACATTTTTGGAGAAAGTGGTTTAGTTCCTCTGGTCCATTTATCATCTCAGCAGTGAAACATCACTGTGTGTATGAAGTTAGCTCTGCAGGACTCTGTACCTGTCAAAATTGTTTATCCATACTTGCCAACAACAGCAAGAAAGTCAGGAACACTGGCAGCTCTGATGGTGAGTGAGTTGGACACATGGAGTGAGGGCGTATGAGCTGAACCTCCTCACTGATGCAGAAAAAGAAAATGAGTGAGGGAAGGAACATTAAAGCATGAAAAGTCTAATCTTACAGAGTTTAATGGTTGTGGTGGGTTACAAAAAAAAAAAGACCTTTTGCAGAATTTTTTCATGGGCAACTGAGTAGGTAGGTCTTGGTGACCAGTTAGTCCTCATGCTGCTGAAGGTTCAGCAGAAGCACCTACTGGGGGATAATGTTACATTAACGTTATTGGCTGTGGGTAGCTGATTGGGAATATAGCACTTAGATAATTAAAAACTAATATGATAATCACTTATTAAGGAACTATTAAGCAACTACTTAGTGCTTGGTATAGTTTTGTGAAAAGACAAAAAATTCTCAGTCTAAATCAAACAGAAACTTAATCCTATGTGAGGGCTCTCAGGGGAAAAGAAAAAAAAGAGAGGGGCAGGCAGAGAATTCAGGTTTATAAAAAGAAACACGTACACAATGAGCTGAAGGTTGTGCTTCTGCACTTCCTGCTCTGGGTGTGAGCAGAAGAGGAAATACCAAAATACCACCAGAAAAACTATTCCCACAGCATTCCCAACCTGGCTGAAACCAGAAAAGTTCTGACAGCTCTGCAGAAAAGGGGGTAAAGCCCCACAACCAGACCAGTCCCAAGCATCTTGCTCACCAGAAAGCCAACAAAATTTCCAAAGATGGGAAATTTGGGTAGACCTAGATGAGTATTTATATTTCCCCTGACTCCTCATCTGTACTCTGTATTTTCTGCATTTCATGGATCATTGGTGACAGATATTTGACTCTTCTTCCAGCTTTGAGAGGGGCACATTTCTGCTACAGCCAGTTTGGTCGCATCCATGACCACAGACCACCAAATTGCATGTTAACCACAAGGCAAGTCCAGTGTAACTCAGTGAGGCACTCCTTGGCCCTCCTTTCATTTTGGACAGTCAATTCACTACAGTGAGAGTACAACCTACATACACGGGAAGAACTGACCTTTCAATGCATAAAATGCGATCAGATTCAGTGTTGCCCCATGTTAATGATTAAAATGAATTCCTGAAGGCTCCCAGGCAGACAAGACATGAGTTTGGTCTGGCTGGTGTCGTAAACTTTCCTCTGATAGCAAAGTAAACCCTGAAGATGAGCAGCAGGATCACATTCAAAGGGTTGTACGGAAAGCTGGCACATCAGGCAATTAGTTTAAAACTTCAGATCTGGAAACTTTGCAAAGAATTTGGAAAATGGTGCTTTCCCTTTATTGGTATATAAAAAAGGAAAGTATTCTGTCCTACTAAACCCCCAAAATTTAAATATTAAAGTCTCTTGTTTGACATGCAGTATCATACACTAGAGTTCAGGACTTACTAAATAGTCTAAGGAAAATCAGAGCTAAAGTAAAATTACTATGGAAAGCTGGTTTTCCTATAGATGTTTCCTCACATCTAAGCAAGGTCTGAATCAAACTTTTCCCTTACAATTAGAGAATCAAATCCCTGGACTGGCTCCAATGAGCAGCTCAGGAATGTTCAGCACAACCACAGCCTCTAGCTATGGGACAGAACAAAAGTTGCAACAGTGATGATGCTTTATCTTCCACATCTTACTCCAGCAACATTTCCATGGGTGCCAACAATGATATCTGCTTGAAAGAGGCCTGAAAAGAAGATTTTTTTCTTTTCAAATTCGGAGTCAGTTATTTAGAGACTGATCAACTCATTGCATTTATGACTGTGGTTAACTGAAACCACCTAAGGCTGATAATGCCATCATGAACTCTCACATTCCAAAAATGAAGCTAAAACCTTAGCTAAGCCAAGCCCCATGTCTGAGTGCAGCTTTCCAGTTCATTCAGAGCAGCACAGCACTCAGCATTTTCCCTCCAACAAGAGAAAGCCCCTTCCTGACCTCCCGGAACGTTGCTGCATGAGAATACGGTTGTCACTCCTACTGCAAACTTATTTAAGAGACAATAGGACAAATAGTTGGCACATAGTTTCTTCTTAAAACGTAAATCTAGATCAACAATAAAACATAAAAGGCCAAGGAAACATGCAAAGACACTCAGAAAATGCTCATTTTACTTTGCAGATTAATTTTTGCTGAGTGAGACATTGCAATTTACAAAGTGGGCCCTATTCTGCAAGTCCTTTCTTACACGAGCTCATTTTAAAGCCACTGAGGTTGTTTATGAGAGTAAAAGTTACTTACATGAATAAGGACTCGCAGATTCTGGCCTTACGCATTTTGCTACCTAGGCATTGTCTGGGATGTAGAGCAGCGTGTATTTTTAGGAACTAAAAATGGACTTCAGTTGTTTCTTTTGGAAAAAGTTCTGACTTCAGCTTTCACTCATCTGCTTTTTGCAGTTTGCTCTGCAGCCACATTGAATGGACGGGCTCAGCCTTTGTCCCTGTCTGTGCTGCTCGTTACCAGCCACTCTCAGCCCCGACGCGCTGTAACTCACCAGGACGTGTGCAGTCTGAATTCCCATTCCAGATTTGCTCCTCAAGCCTAAGGCCATTATTCCATCTCAGACTAAAACGTATCTTCCCATGGGCAGCTGAAAAAGAGCATGTTTCTTCAGGTTTTCTTGCCACAAAATGATAAAATAAACTGAAATAAAATAATAATAATAGAAAGGAAATCCAGTGTACGGCAATCCTCAGAGTTCTGGAGTCTAAGAGTGTTGATCTGCATCCATAAATGTCCTGACCGGTGAGGAGACACAGGCACTACAACTGGAAAGAGAGCAGGAAGGAAAACCTACCATGTGAGCAAAGTTAAAAAAAAAAAGGGGGGGAAAAAAAAAAAAAAGAGAGAGAAAAAAAAGATCTGCTCAGTGGACAGCACTTGGGCTGATAGCAGGGATTTCAGGAAATCCAAACACTCAGACAGGAAATCTGAACACTGGATAAACATGCCATAATCTCCACAGATACAGTTAACGTGCTGCGTCCCCCGTTAACCCATTGCCTGCCCGTGGCTGAGCCTGAAATCAGATCTGCGGTGTGAGACGCCTGGAAACACAAGCTGCCCTGGGGGCTCCAAAGCCTGAGTGCTCAGAAGTCTGAGCAGCAGTCCTGTGATCAACCCTGCCCTCTCCTTCTCTCAGTGCTCTGGCGAGGATTTTTTCCTCCCTTGATTTCTACACAGTGATGTTTTGGTTAAAAAGTGGATGATTTTCCTCATCTGAGAAGGAGATGCACTCTGGGCCCTGAAACAGCAGGGCAACCTGCCTGAACTCCTGTGTGCCACTGACTGTGGCTACCTGGTAGTCCCGAATTAGTTTTACCCAGGTTTTTTCCACCTCTCTTTTGCTGTAACACAAGATTTGTATGGCTGGCTGCCATGGTTTACTCCAGGGATGATGCAGTGGGGACACACGAACACCTGCACATCCCCCTTAGAAATTATAGGGAGAGACTACTTAAAGTAACAGGGGGAGTTTGGAAACTCCTTTTATGCCATTTTGTCAAGGAATTTGGTTCCATGGCAGAGGGGCTGGAACTGAAGAGATCTTTAAGGCCTCTTCCAACCCAAACCATTGTATGATTCCATGAAGTGAGGAACAAACTCTTCAGTTCCTGGTAAAATTAAGATGAAGCGTGTTTGGTTGGTTGTTTTCATAATATAGACTTTGCTCTTTGTGTCTTGTGTCTTAATTTATTTCTTTTATATGGTGTAACTTGGTTACAATATTAATGTAAAGCTCTTAGCTAGTTACAAAAGCAAGCAGAAGCAATAATATTTCATAGAGCTGACCCTTTGCTCCCACAGATGTAATTAATAAAGTGAAGTTTACATGAGAGTTGCCAAATTTAAATTCATAGGATTATGAGCACGCACACACACGCAATTAAGCCCCTGCATGTTTGCAGGATGGGGAGGGACTTCACTGTGCTTTCTGTAGGAGGACAGTTGCAGGCTTCTCTGCTTTTTAGAGGTTACAGACTCCTAAGGAAAGGGCCCACTTCCAAAAATGTTTCTTCTCCCTGAAAATTGACTTTTTGGGAGAGTCCTGCCTAAAGCAAGTTGAAAAGAAAACATCATGTCTCCAGATTTTCTGGTTCTTCTAGGATTTTATAGAAATAAATAAATAAATAAATAAATAAAATTAGTGCCATGAATTTCACTTTGCAATTTGCTGGTAGACATAATTAGAAACAGAGGTAATATCCACCAACTGGTGCCCTCACTTAAGGCATTGGCAATTAGCTCATCTGAAATAGCCTTAGTGTAAGTCTCACATGTAATATTAACCTGTATCATTATATTAAGGTCCCTGCTAGGAACAAAATAGGAGCACTATAGGAAAAGGCTTCCTTCAGCACCTTCTACTACTTACAGGGTGTTTCTGTTTATAATGTCATGGACAGAAGCTCTGGCAAACCAACACTGGTTACAGCATTCCCTGGAAGGGGCCAGGCTTGGACATTATACCTGCTCTGTGGAGTTAGGTTGTGATGGCCAAGCAACACTGCAGGGAGCCTGGCAGCAGAACTGGGGTGGAAAATGGGGATTTGGAGGCATCTCTGCCTCAGGAACTCTCTTCTGGTCTCCAGTCTAATTCTGACTCAGGAAATATCTTTCAAGTTGGGCCCTCATGTTCCCAGTCACTCTCCTGCTACTTCTTAGGAAGCATGAGGCTGGTGATGGAGGTTGGTTCCTGTGAGCATGGTTGGAGCTCTGGCAGCTACATCTGTGCAAAGAGCTGGTAGAACAAATGCTTGACTTGAGAGGCATGAAGTCATCTGCCTGGCCTAGCACGTGCTTCATGAAACAAGGACCAAATGGTTGCTTGGTAATGTCAAGAGGGAACTGGTGGAAAAACAGGGAAAAATTAAAACATGTCAGGGTTGAACTTTTTTTTTTCTTGTTCCATGTGCTCTGCCAGTGAGCTATTTCAGTTATTCACTTTTTTCCATAGAAGTTCTTCTGTTGTCACGGTATTTTTCACCTTTCCTTTTCTTGTATTTTCCCCTTAGTGCCATTCTTTCCAGTAGCAAAAGGAAAGCAAAAATAAAGAAAGGGAATAAAATGCAGCCTTTGCTTTTCAGAGTAACTGGGGGGGGGGGGAAGAGAAAATATACATAAACCTTCAAAATATGCATTTTGGAAAATAAAAAGCCTTTTAGGGTTGAGAGACTTTTCATTTGAAAACATTCAAGCAGCTCTAGAAAAAAAAGGGAGCTGGGGGAAGTGGGATATAATTTATTACCACTAACATCTGCTGTAAATCAGTTAGAGGTAGGCAAACATTCCCTAGCAGGGCACAGTTAGGTCAAGGTGAGAGGGGGTAAAGCAGTAATTAAAAAGACCAGCATCCCCCAGGCACCTTCAATAGGCTGTAAGCAGAAGAGCAAGTGCTTGCTGTAAAACTGTTTTGTTTGTCTAGAAAAATTTCAAGGGGGTTAAAAATATTAACTGGTATATTCAATGGAAAACTATCAGTTTATAAAATGTCTCCAACAACTTCCATGCAGAACCACAAAAAGTATAATACTTTTCCATTTTTCTAGTTAAAAAATAAGTTGAAAAAAAGGTTGTGCTAATTGAGAGAAGTTTCATTTGATGAGAAATTTTTGCTGAAAAACTCTACAGAAAGTTGTTATTGTCAGTCTTGCTACAAGGGAGAACAGGAACAGCATGGTGGGCAAAATGATGAAGCTGACAATAATAAACCATACAGAAACATTTCAGTAGAAACAAAGTAGAGAGAAGACTTCAAACTCAGGCCAGCAGAGTTATGGAAGCTAAAAAGTGGATAAAGAGTCTTGAAAGGGCACAGCAGCTGCAAAAAATCCCCCATCACCTGAGGAAAAAAAAAGCCAGTGGCCTTACTCAGTACAGATGTCAAGATACTTGCTTTTAAATTGAAAAAAACCCTCTACCACATCCACCCTTCATGTACCTGCAGCATCTGAGCTTTCTGATCACTTGCTATATAACCCCAGGATGTAGCTTTGTGTATTTTTATAGCTGATAGTGAAATTCTCACTTCTTCCATGAAGAACTCTACAGCTACGAAATTAGGCCAAATCAGTTAATTAAAGATTAAAAGGGTTTATCTATGTATGTGAAAGATAAAGCACATGAAATCATTATTGAGATTGTGAACAAAATTCTTGAGAATGTTATCATTAACCTATGAGGCCCCAAGCTCTGTTATTTTTCATGTTTCAATGACAAATCTTATCATTATAATAGTCAGGATTTTTTTTTCCAGCATAGATTTGAAATAAAGATCACTTCTTTAATCTTCACCACCCTACTTACTGGATTTGAGAAGACTTCAACAGAATAATTAAAACTTTTGGAGACAGAAATCGCAGATCCCAGTTTTGTCATTCTCCACCCTTCAGTCACCCGGAGGCTTTACTTTCTTGAAAAGAATGACTTAATATATTCACATGAAACTAATTTACTTTCCATTTAGAGCATGGCCAGCCCTGTGCACTCAGCCATTCCAGACCTCTCTCTCAGTAGCTACCAAAAACTGGATGCCAGAGAAACACTGTGGCACGCTAAACAAAGTTCCCTAATCACACTGTGACTCTATCTGGATTTATAACAACATATGCTAAGACTTAGCAAACATTAGGGAAAATGAGTAGAAAACACTATCCAAAAGGATTTCATAAACACTGACACAACTTACCATAAGCTATAAACACTATTTTTCTTGAAAAACTTCTGTAATTAACTGGTTTAGAGAATTCTTGCTGCGCTACAAAACATATCTCTTTGTGCACTGGCTTTCAATTTTAACATTTGCTTGGAAATCCCTGCCACTTTTATTACTAGTCCCCTCCTTCCTAAATGAGCAGGCAAGAAGGTTTACTTTTGAGATCAGCATCCCTGCTGGCAATGTTGCACTAGGAAAAGCACCAAGCCCCCTCCATCCAGCAGCAAACCATGTGCTCTTACATTACCCAAGAAACATTGCCACTTTCCCCACTGTTCATTCACTGAGATACAGCAGAAGCTGTGTTCTAACAGGTTTAACGACATGTTTGTACATTTATTAAGCAAATAGCACCTCTTGACGTTACGAAAAGGTCTGGGCATTAGAAACTGCCTTGACAAGAAGCACTTGACCCTTGGTGGTAGCTACAGGCTGCATCAATGCGCAGGAGGCTGTGCATGTTTCATTTCTAACTGTATTTGAAGTTTTCTTTTTTAAAATAGGAAAAAAACCAAAACATTAAAGCATTTCCTTCTTTTTCCTCTCCTTTTCATTCATTGTTCCTTGTTGCAATGACAAAAAAGGGGAATTTTTTCATAGACCTCTTTTTCTCCCCTATTCTTTTTTACCAATGTGGCATGTGAAAAGAGGAAACCAAAGACA